CGCCGCGCAGACGTCCTCGCCCGGCAGGGCGAGGCTGTCCACTCCGCGGGCCATGCAAACCCGGCAGCGCGCCGTCATGGGAAGAAGGCGAGAGCGGAGAGAGCGGAAAGAGCCTGAATGCGCCCTGTGCGCGGGCACTTGAGCCATTCAGGCTTGAGCCACTCAGGCCCAATGGTTCCAGCAAGGGGGGGCGGGCGCAGCGGGCGCGGCGGCGGCCAGCGCCTTGTCGGGGCAGCGGCCCTCTGCGGCCTCCGCGACGTGCACGGCAGGCGGCCTGGGCGTCCAGAACAGGGGCGACAGCCAGCCAGTGCCGATCTCGGCCATCGCGCCGTTCTCGTTGGCGGTCTTTGAAGGGGCCCCAGGACACAAATAAGTACACACAAATAAAGATATTCCCAATATGTCCCATCTTTTCTTGCTTCTGTCTTCCCCCCCCCACATCCCATATTCTCCCATATTTTCTGGGGAATCGAGGATTCATTGTGTCTGTGTGTGTTTCTTTTCCTCCTGAGTCTTGCGCAGCTGGCCCGCGGCCGCGCCGGTTGGCGATGGCGCGACGGGCAGCCCTCGTCCTCGATGCTGCGTTGAGGACGATCGCGCTGCCCAGGCGAAGCAGCGACCATTCTCACAGGCCGAGTCGTCCAGCTTTGCTGCAGCTCTGAGGAGGGAGGTGCCAGACCATGCGCCGCGCCCAGTTTTCGCGCCCGTGGAGAACAAGGCGGACGCGGGCGCCGACTTCACTGTGTAGCTCAGCACCGTGACCACCCTTGAGCTATGCAGCAGCGTCGCCACGTCGGCGGGCACCCCAAACCGAGCCAGCCCACGAACGCGATGGATCCACTTGGCCGTAAGCTTCTGCCACGTATCCTGCGAGTCCGCAGCAGGGCCAAGATAGATGCCGAGGTACTCCACGCGCGGGGCTACCGCCGTCTGAGCCCTGCCAAGAATCTCGGCGGCCAACCAGCTGAGCGCGTCGCTGGCTAGCTCCTGAGCGCATGGGCAACAGAGAGGGATGTGTTTGCATTTGTCGGACTTCAGGCACAGACCACCCGGAATACCTGTCATATGCGCAGGAGAAATCGGCGGTCTTGAAGTACAGCGCCGACGTCGTCGGCGAACGCGCCTGCCGCCGACGCGGTGAAGGGAGCAAGGATCTCCCCCCAGTGGCGCGCGAAAGGTTCCATGGCAACTGCCCGGGGCGAGCCTCGCAGCGGGCAGTCCTGGGCGATGCCCGCGGAGACGAGCGCGAAGTGCGTCGCGATGCCCTATGAACACGCGCGCATTCGGCATCCAGCACATGCCCACGACGGGGCCGAAGATGCCACCAATGGAGACAGCGCGCCTCATGACTGCCCTCAGGAGCGACGCGGTAAACGACGGCAAGGCGTTGCCGACACCGAAGAGCACTGTGAGCGGATGGCGCCGCTCGCGATGATTGAGGAGTCCGGCCAGCCGGGCGCGCGCGCGCGTCTAGCAATGCGACGTTACCCTGTAAGTTGCGCCCAGGCAAGCAGCCCCGCTGTGACCTCGGGGAAACCTGCTCGATGTTGGAGGCCTGGAAATGGGCACAAACACCAACGCAGGGGGTTGCCTCCACAGGGGGACGATGATCCTAGATTTCGGCGTTGGTGGTAGCATGTCGGTCACCTTGGAAGCCAGAATATTACCACCATCACCGAGATTGGGATCTTCTTCCCTCGGTGGGGGCACACCGCCGATATTGGTGTTGGTGTCAACCTCTAAGCCGGCGACGATGGTGCCCTTGGTCGGGGCGCAGTCGCTGGCGCCCAAGAGCTGCTCGTCCGAGCTCCTGGGCGCCGGCGGGCGCGTCGTGGCCCCGGCGCGCGAGATAGGCCCCGGGCAGGGCGGCTTCCCTCGGAACCGTCTGGGAGGAAGGCCATGGGCTGATCGTTGAAGCCCGTCGGAGGAGGCGCTCCCATGGTCATCTCGGCGCCGGCCGTCGCGGGATCCTCAAGGGCGCGCGGTTGCCGCAGCGCCTCCAGGCATCGCGCGGCAGGCCATCGGGGCCCGTGGCCGAAGGCCGAGACCGTTTTGCAGCATGAGCAAGGTTCCGAGCGCCAGAGGGTCGAGCGCCCTGGACCAGGGAGAGCAACGGAGCGATCACCCAAGCACTTCTAAACCAGCGGGCGATCAGGCGGAGCAGCTTGTGAAAGACGGGCGGCCAGTGGGTCTTGAGCTCCCTGAGAATGTCCGTCCGCGCATTGAACACCCTGGATTCTCCTTCATCATCTGGCAGGCGGGGGCCCTGCAACTGGGAAGCCCGCTCGCGCGGGCACCAAAGAGCCGCACAGGGCCGAACGGCGCGGCGCATGGATCAGATGTAGTGGCCGGAGCTGGAGCCGGGTGCTGGCGCTTGAGCTCGGTGGCCTAGATCAGCTTGTCGTCGCTGGCTGCGGTGCCTTGCTCCGTCCTGAACTCGCGCTCGAATGCCTCGGGGTCGATGAGGGGCGCAGCCGTGGCGGATACTTTCAGATGTCCAGCAGGCGAGGATGAGAACCAACGAAGCGGGCAGCCAGCTCCAGTTCATGTCTCCAGACGACACGGGCGATGGACCTGAAGATGAGGACGCGGGCGTCGTTCTCGCGGGCCTCGCTGGAGAACGGCCTGTCCCTGGCGCGGCGAGCAGCCTCCTCCATCAGCCGCTAGTGTTCCAGGCGAGTGGAGCACGGCGGAAGGGAGGGCCACGGCACATGCTTGGCCAGCAGGGCGCTTTGCTCAGGGCATTCGGGGTCGCGGAATATGTGCCGCGGGATCGGCTGAGCATCACGATCCACCCGACGTCGAACACTGATAGAAACCACCAGCGGCGCGTGGTCGCTGATCCACTTCACGTGGAGCTTCTCGGGGAAGTCCTCGGTGGTGGCCGTGAAGTGCCATTGGATGGTGAGCTAACTGACTGCCGCCGTGAAGGCCCTGTCTACCTGCGTCAACTTACGGGGCGAGTTCACCTGCACGCTGCAGTGCGTGGGGTAGCCCGCTGTCGATGTCGATCCTGTCATCGAAAATGTCCTGCCATCTGTTCTCCAGGGGGCGAGGTGCCGGGTCCAGCTGGACGAGGCCCTTGTGGACCTCAGGGGGGTTGGGCAGAAGTCCCCGAGAGGCAGGATGGTGACCATCTTCGGCGCGATGCGACCGATGGCGTTGGGTCGCTGGTCGCGTCATGACCAGAAGCGAGATCCGCATGGATGTGGCGCGCCGCGGTGCTCATCGTGGTGGAGCAGGATGGCGATACTGCCAGTGTCTCTCCTGTTGCAGAAAAATGTGGACGCTCTAGTTCCCTGATGGCGCCGGTGAAGCTCTTGCTGAAATTCGATTTCCGAACCATGGATTTCCTGAATGCAAGTGTGATGAACCAAAGCACGCGCGTTCCATGAAGAGTATCCAACACGAGTCCGAAGATCAGCAGGCGCCCTCGGCAGCGCGAAACGATCGGTAAATGGACCACGGGATCCGTTCAGTACCATCGAACACGTCGTCGAAATGCTGCTTGAGATCGGTCCTTGCGCGGGTCACATGAAAAGACCCACCCCAACGAGAGCGCCCTCATCAGCAGCTGCAAGATGGCCGTCACCACAGACGCCGTCGTTCACAGCGTCCAGCCGTGGCTCGGGGAAGCGGGGCCCGAAGGTGAGAGCTGGAGCATCGACGGCCCGTCCCCTCGTCGCCGTTGCATCATCCGCGCGGGCGGTGCCTGCTGGGCTCGCGGCCAAGGGGGTCATCACTGCCTTCCGACACCGCAAGGAGGGACGGGCAGTGGAAGCGACTCGCTGCCAAGTTCGTCGGCGATCGGGACACCGACATCTGCGTTCAGATCGGGCATGTCCTCCTACGGGCGGGTTCTGGAAGCAACATGAAAAATAGCCAAGACCAGCATCGAACATAATCGAGAAGTCGTTCAGAGGATGGAGGAGGGATGAACGGTCGGCGGGGGCGGGGAGGGGAGGAGAAGAAGGGAAGGACAACCAGTGTAGGGACGAGGGGGCGGAGGAGGAGGAGGGAGGAGGAGGGAAAGGAGGGGAGGATGAGGAGGAGGAGGAGGAGGAGGAGGAGGAGGAGGAGGAGAAGGAAGAGGAGGAGGAGGAGGAGGGAGGAATGTAGAAGGGAGAAGGGAGGAGGAGAGAGAAGGGAGAAAGAGAAGGGAGGACCAAAGACGCAGCAACGATGTTGCAACATACCCTCCTTCGACGCTCCCTCTCCATAGGTACACCCAAACACTTCTTTTCATTGTTGGGAGTTCCCCATGGAACGACAATCGTCTGAGAATCGTCAAGCGTGCAAGAACGCCGTCCCTGGGAAGTCCTGGCAGTCCAGAGTCGTACCAGAACGCATTCCTCGGACTTCAGCCCTGCGAATCCTTGAAACTGGCGCAAACGTTCACGACGAATGGGCGGTACGCTAATGCTGGCGACGTATATGGGAAACCACCCAGCATCCGTCCTCGAAGCTGTTGCTGGATTTTGAAACAACTGTGCGCGGTGATGATGCGAGCGAGAGCCGCCGTTTGAAAACTACCCATGCTCCATCCTTGAAGCCTTTGGAGACTTCCACGAGGAATGCGCACGGCGCTGAAGCGAGCGCCACATTTTGAGAAGGACCCGTACTGCATGGAGGAAGCTGTTGCAATGGTGAGGAAGTGTCCGGCGAAACGCATGGCACGCCGAGAAAACACGTCTGGGGATGTGACATGGAGGAGATGGTTAAAAGGGATAGGGATGGAGCAATCAGGAGAAGGGGGGAGGGGTGGGTGGGTGAAGGAGGAGGAGGAGAAGGAGGAGGGGGGAGGGGGGAGGGATGAGGGATGAGGGGATGAAGGAGTGGGGGAGGAGTGAAGGAGGAGGGGGGGCGGCTGACGGCGTGGGCAGAAGGATGGGGAGGAGGGAAGGAAAAGAGGGAGGAGGGATGGGGGAGGGAGGGAAGAGGGACGATGGAGAGGGGGAGGAGGAAGAACGGGCATGATGGCTCAAAAATGCCCGCGGGTCCTCCAGACCCACGGCGCTGCAGTCCACGCAGAAGGGGTCACCCTTCTCGCCCTTCTCCTGGTCGCCAGCAGGCGCCGGGAGGAAGAGGCGAACGAGGGAGGAGGAGGAGGAGAAGGAGAAGGAGGATATATAATGATAACAACTATGACAATGCATGCTGAGAAGTCAAATGGAGGAGAAGACACATACGATAATACATGGTGAGGTGGCAAGACTAAAAGGAAGAGGATGAGGAGGAGGAGGAGGACAGGAGGAAACGAGGAAGAAACGATGGAGTGGGAGAAGAGAGGGGGTGGAAGAGAACCAGGAGAAGGAGGAGGAGGAGGACGAGGCGAAGGCGGAAGGGAAGATGCAGGATGAGGTAATGGCACGAGCGAAGATGAAGATGAGGTAGGAAGGGCAGGTAAAATCGCTAGGCTACCAGAGAGGACAATGTCATGAGGAGAACTGACTGGCTGAATGACTGGCTGACTGGCACCGCCAACCTGGCAGGATTTATCAGAACAGCAGCACAAACTCACACTCAACATCATTCCAGGGGATTTGCTGTCCACTGGCGGAAGAGAACATCAGTTTGTGAAAGCAGGTCTCTGGCCAAAGAAGAATAACATGGAGGAGTCTCGCACAAAACCATGCTATACAGATTGTCAAAAATCATGCGCTTTCGACGCTCTCCCACCATGTCGTCGTTGCACTGCTGGTCTGTCTCATTTTTCCACCCATGTCCCAGGATGGGTAACTTGTTATTGCTTAGACGCCTCCAGACCTCCTTCTTCTCCTCCTCATCACGGGGCCCATCACAGACCCTCTCTTCTTCACGGTGCCCATCACAGGCACAGTCCCCCACGCAGACTCACCCACCCCATTTCCTCAGACTCACTCATACTCAGACTCACTCAGACTGACTCAGACCCCCGCAAGGAATTAGCCTCCGACGCAGACCGACCCACACACATTCAGCCTCTCCCACTCCGACACGCTCTTCCTGCAAGTCGGGGATTTATCCATATCCAACGCCTGGGAACCGACGTCCTGGTGCCCCAGCGGGCGGTGGATATGGACACATTCCGGCCCCCGGGGGCCCGAATATGTCCATATCCACCGCCTGCCGAGGCTCCAGAAACTGACCCTCCAGGCGGTGGTCATAAATTCCCGCCTCGGACTTCCTCAGGAGGAGGAGGAGGAGGAGGAGGAGGACGACGAGGACTCAGATAATTCTGGTGGCCCACCGCTCACCGCGATGTCGCAGGCGGCGTGGCACCCCGGCACCCCGCGGGGAAGCCGCCGGGGCGTACAGTACGGCGCTCGCCCGTGTGGGCGCCCAATAGGGATTGTGGCGCTGCCTCGGGCGGCTCGCCCGTCTCTGGCCGCAGGCCGGCGGCGCCGGCACCACTCTGCGAGAAGCAGGGGGGAAGCAGCTTTCAGTCGGGCGCGTCACCCTCCCAAAGAATCCCAAATTGTAAAAAAAATGCTCAAAAAAGAGTCCCCAGACTATTTTGTGTTAGCTATCTTTGCATAGTCCCCCTGCAGAGGCACAGGCCCGACTTAAGAGGAGCTGGATCCCGAGATCGTCGGCAACAGCGCCGGGACGCAGCGCGTGCGAGGAGGGCGAGCTGCGGCGCCGATCCCTGCCGCTGCGAACAGTGCGGAAGGCGAGGCTGGAGCCCGATGACATCAGCTACAGCGCTGGGATCAGGGCCTGCGAGAAAAGGCAAAAAGCAGCAGGCGGCTCCGGCATTACGTACTCTGCGAGAGGCAGGAGGCGAAGCTGGACCCCGAGCTCGTCAATGGCAGTCGGTCAGCAAGGGTGCTGTTTATAGAATGCCCAAATCGACCCTTCCCGAAACCCCTCTGGCCTCGACCTTCCCGACAAATGAGACGGCCGGTCGGACGACTCGGGCGCATTCTCCGAACGCGCAGCGGATCGCGAAGGGATGGGTGACTAAAGAAAACATGCCTGACGAAGAATGTTCGACACATGTGCCAAAGATGCGGGGATGCGACAAGAAGGCGGGCAGAGGGGGGCCTAAACCGATTCCCCCACATCGCTTCTGCGGCAGGGGCGGGGCGGGGCGGGTGGTTCACCAAAAGAGCACTTGCGAGAGCCCAACGTAGCTGACGACGGTACCCGACGACGACGACGACGAAGACGCAGACGACGACGACGAAGACCACGACGACGACTACACGACCGCGACGACAACAACGACGGACGACGACGGAATACGATGACGCAACGACGAAACGCGCCGCTGCGGATACCTTATGGGCAGGGAAGGGTGCTGCGAGGGTTCGCCGTTGTCGAAGACGACGACGAAGGATGACGACGACGAACGCCGACGACGAACGACGACGACGACCAAAAACCACGACGAAGACGACGGACGACGAACGACGACGGATGATGGCGACGACGACAACGACGACGACGACGACGAGACGATGACGACGACGACGACGACGACGACGACGACGACGACGACGACGATGCGCGCCAGTGCGAATGCCCCATTGGGGGGGGTGTTGCTACGAGGGTCCGCCGTATTCGACGACGACGGCGACGACGCGCGCAACTGCGGGTGCTCCACGGGGTCTCGGGGGGTGGAAGGTGCGTCGGTCCGCCGTAGTCGACGACGGCAACGACGACAACGACAAAGACAACGACAACGACGACGACGACGACGACGGCGCGCGGATCAGGCATCTGAGTATTCCAGTAGGTACTGCGTTGGTCGCCCACACGATTGCCCACGCGCGCACGATCGCCACGACAATCACGGCCTGGGCCGTGCATCTCGCAAGTTCCCTGGCCTGGCGGCCGCGGTTGGTGATTCCCCGAAATGGTTTGGCCGGCGGGGGTGCCGATCCCGAAAATCCGCCGGCCCCCTTTGTGGGGCCACCAGGCTGTAGGCCAGTGATTCGCAGTTTCCTGTACCAGTCGTAGGTTGTAGTTTCCAGTGTTACAGTTCTGCTTCTTGCTGGTTACTGTAACTAGTTGACTTCTTGCTGGTTACTGTAACTAGTTGATTGACCGCGCGAGGGGGGGGGAGGCCCAAACAGGATTTTTAGCCTCACCTGGGCGCGTTGTCTGAATTGCTGGGGGGGCTCGAAATCGACACCCCTCACGCAGATCCGCGGGGTCAGGGTCCAAAAACACATGGGATTTGCCACATTTCTGAAAGTCGGTGCCACCCCTCACGCAGATCCGCGGGGTCAGGGTCCAAAAACACAGGGGATGTGCCACATTTCTGAAATTCGGTGCCACCCCTCACGCAGATCCGCGGGGTCAGGGTCCAAAAACACATGGGATTTGCCACATTTCTGAAATTCGGTGCCACCCCTCACGCAGATCCGCGGGGTCAGGGTCCAAAAACACAGGGGATTTGCCACATTTCTGAAATTCGGTGCCACCCCTCACGCAGATCCGCGGGGTCAGGGTCCAAAAACACAGGGATTTGCCACATTTCTGAAATTCGGTGCCACCCCTCACGCAGATCCGCGGGGTCAGGGTCCAAAAACACATGGGATTTGCCACATTTCTGAAATTCGGTGCCACCCCTCACGCAGATCCGCGGGGTCAGGGTCCAAAAACACATGGGATTTGCCACATTTCTGAAATTCGGTGCCACCCCTCACGCAGATCCGCGGGGTCAGGGTCCAAAAACACATGGGATTTGCCACATTTCTGAAATTCGGTGCCACCCCTCACGCAGATCCGCGGGGTCAGGGTCCAAAAACACAGGGATTTGCCACATTTCTGAAATTCGGTGCCACCCCTCACGCACATCCATCGCAAGGCGTGGTAACCCAAACTGCGAGTACTCCCTCGGCCCTTTAATCCCAAGGTGTGGTAACCAAGCTCGTAAACCATACACGTCTTACCAATCGCCCTGTGTGGTAACCCCTCTTGTGATCAGTTGGTTTTGCCGATTGCGAATCGGCCTCGCATGAAGTTCCGATACTGCTGCACGACAGCGCCAAAGCCTCATGACTTAGCTCTTCCATGGCCCATTCTCCGAGAGAGGGGGCCGGCGGCAGGGGGCGAAGCCCTTACGGATTAAATCAAGTGGCCGCCGGATTCTCTGGCGATTACACTGCGGGCGCGGCCGCAAGAAACCCTCGCAAGAAACCCAGCCCTGAGAACCCGCGCGCGAGGTGCGCCTGAGGGGAATCCGGGAGCGCCCTGAACGCAGCACCTTCTTCAACGGCTGCGGGAAGTCACCGCGCAGCGGGCGGAGCGAAGAAACTCAGGATACCCTGACGAAAAGCACATGGTTTCCTGATGCGCGCCGCCACTTTACCTCCGTTGGAGGCGGGTGTCTGTGTATGCCGGAAACAACATCAATTCATTTCCCCGCGAGGCGCTCCGCCCAACCAGTAAGGAGCCTGATAGAGTCCACACGGATTTCCCCAAGAAGGGGCCAAGGTGGGGCGGGGACGTATATCCACAATCCCTCCTACGACTTCATCAGCAAACTATTTTTCTGTTTGAGTCGTCATCGTCGACGCCGTCACCGCTCCCCTTTTCCAATCGAGTCGTCGTCGTCGCCGTCGTCGCCGTGGGCGCCACTCTTTCCCTTTACCTGGGCCCTCCTCCTCAAGCGATCCAGCCAGACGGTTGATCCCTTCACCGCGCGCTGGGGAGGGAGTCCTGGGAGGATGAGATGAGTGATCTGATGGAACCGAGGGTCACTGGGGGGGATCCCGGGAATGGGGGGGGGGCCCGGGGGTTGAGGGGTCCTGGAAGTCGTGACCGCCTCCCCTCAAAGCAAAAACAGCCAAGAGCCGCAAAAAGGGGAACACCATTCGAGTCTCAGGGATTGCAAAAAAGGATTGCAAACAAAAAGAAGGATTGCAAAAAAAGAAGGATTGCAAAAAAACGAAGGATTGCAATCCTTCGTTTTTTTTTGCGCCCCTTCCCTGTGATCCCTTTTCCACCAGGGGGGTCCCGCGGGGGGCCCAGGCGGTCGTGCCCTCCACCCTCTCCGCCCCTCGCACTCTCCGACCAAAAAGGCCCAGTAGAGCCCCAACGAGTCGCAAGAGGGGAAAAACCAACTGACCTTTGAAGCCCTCTGCCCCGAGAGGGAACTAGAAAACCCCAAGAGGCGCCCCAGATCCCCCAAGGAGGCCCCAGAGCTACCCATGACGCCATTAAGCAGCCCCAAAAGCACCCCCAAGAGAGACCCCAAGAGGTCAACATCATAGATATCATCAAGGTTTGTTCCAGATGTTCTTGAGTTCTCGGCTTTCGAGCTTCTCACGCTCCAAGACGGCCCAGGGGGCCCCCCATATCGCTCCAAAACCCAAGTCCTTCCCGAGGTAGCCCCACGACGGCCCAAGAAGGCCTCACGACGGCCCAAGGACGTCCCAGGACGACCTAAGAGGCATCCCAAGAGAGCCCAAAAAGGAATCCACGACGGCCCCACAACACCTCAGACGCTCCAAGACGTCCCAAGGAGACCTCCCTATATAGCTCCAAGATGGCCCAAGAAGCGCTGCAGGCGGCCCCAAGACGGCCCAACAGGGCCCCAATACGGCCCAAGAATGTCCCCAGAGTGCATAAAAGGCCTTCAAAGATAGGCCAACAGGGCCCACAAAAGCCCCCTCGAAGGCTCGCAAGCGTCGTCGTCGTCGTCGTCGTCGTCGTCGTCGTCGTCGTCGTCGTCGTCGCCGTCCCCCTTCAGGGTCGGCGGCAGCAGCCGTAAGGACCTCGCTCTGTCCATGCTGCTAGTCGGGAGCGGCAAAGAGGGGGGCGTCCAAGAGGGGGGGGTGCAAATCATGACCGGCGGCATGTGCGCGGCCCAGCAGGGGGACCAGGGACGTAAAGAAATAAGAAGCTGCGCTATGAAATCTCAGGAAACATCATGGCCCCCGCCATGATATCCCCCCCCCCCTAGTCATCACCCCCCTCTGTCCCGCCCCCGAACTAGGGGCGGGCAGACACCATCGGCCATGAGCCGGGAGCACCTCGGGCGACAGGCGGGCGAGCCGACAGCATCAGCAGCAGCAGCGCTGGGAGCGGGGCGCGCGAGGAGTTGACGCGCAGACGTCATCCACCACGATCCTGGGGACAGGCCGTGAAAGGAGGGCCGCGGCGGGGAATTCAAAAAAAACACGCTCCTCCTCCTCCTCCTCCTCCTCCTCCTCCTCCTCCTCCTCCTCCTCCTCCTCCTCCTCCTCCTCGCTTCCCCCCAAGGGCACCTGGCCCAACGCCAGCCGCTGCACAGCTGGGCCCACGGTGTGCTCGAGCGGCGGGCGGTGGCAGCACACGTGCTCAGGTCATTACTTTGGACACCCGGAATGGGTACCGAACGAATGGGTACAGCGGCCGCTGTTGGACAGGCGGCCGCTGTCCCAAACCAACAGCGGCCGCTGTTGGACAGGCGGCCGTCTGTCTCGAATGGACACAGGCCGCGGCGGCGTGGACAACGAATCCTGTTCAGAATGAACAGGAACTGCTGTTGGGCATCGTACCCATTCTTTCCGTGCCCATCTAGGGCGTCCAGAATTACAGCCTTGGGATCAGCTCGTGTGAAGGAGGCTCGAAAGCGCGTGTGCCAACGCGGCGGGCGCGGGAGAGGATCTTCAGCTGCGGCCCCGGGGCCAGCCAGCCCGCGCAAGAGAGAGCAGGCAGTGGTACCCGGCGCTGACCGCGCGAGAAAGCGGACAGCGGTAGCTGGTACTAACAGTCGGCGCAGAGATCCAATTCGGTAAAAGTAGGTCGGTTTCAGCAGCGGGCCAAGGCGTGCAAGAAGGGCGGGCGACTGCAGCAGGCGTGGAGGAAGGACACGAGCCCAACGTCATCAGCTACACCGCTGGGCCCGTCGTCGAAGCTGGCGGAGGGCAGTGGCAGCAGACGCGATCAGCTACAGCGTTTGGACCCACTCGTGCGACTGTGGCTTCAGACTGCGCGTACAAAGAGCACGGGAAGGCGCTGGAGCACACGACAGAAAGCTGGCAGCGGCAGCAAATACCGTGTTGCTGACGGGGTCGCGTGCTAGAGAGAGCAGGCAGTGGCACCAGCTGCAGGAGAGCGATCAGCTCGTGCGAGAAGGGCACGGCCGCGAACAGCAGGTCTTTTTTTTACAAAAACCTAATGAAGAAGGAGGGAGCGGACCACTGCAGATGACCAGCGCGGCCGGGCGAATGTGAAACCACAGACGAAGCCTCACGGGGCACACGCCGTCACGGTCTGGACGGCCGGCGCGCGTCAGGACGGGGCGCGTCCCACGGCGGACCCAGGATGGACCATTTTGAGTGAGTTGTCTTTTTGTTTGACGCGCGCTGGCGTGTACAGCAGGCGTGCAATCTGTCTCAATCACAGCGGGGGGCTGCGAGTGCGAGGGGTGGGCGCCGAGACGCCAACAATCCGAGCAAGGCCGGGGCACCTTCTGGCCGTCACCGCGGAGTGCGAGGGGGAGACATCCCGCCACACATCCGACCTTTGAAGTGGCAAAGAGTCTACCTGTTTCGAGTCTGGTACTGGGTCGGCCCGCGTGGCGAGATTCGGAAGCAGGCTCTTCGGGGCGCCGCGGCGCCTGCGCTTCCTGGTTACTCGCATCCTCCTCCTCCTCCTCCTTCTCCTCCTCCTCCTCCTCCTCCTCATCATCATCATCATCATCATCATCATCATCATCATGCCGCGTGGCCGAGGCGCATGGTCACTCCCACGCCCCGCGCCCTACCGCCCGAGGCTCCTTCTCCTCCTCCTCCTCCTCCGCCTCCTCCTCCTCCTCCTCCTCCTCCTCCTCCTCCTCCTCCTCCTCCCCTCCTCCTCCTCCTCCTCCTCACATCATCATCATCATCATCATCATCATCATCATCATCATCACATGCCGCGTGGCCGAGGCGCATGGTCACTCCCACGCCCCGCGCCCTACCGCCCGAGGCTCCTTCTCCTCCTCCTCCGCCTCCTCCTCCTCTTCCTCCACTTCCTCCTCCTCCTCCTCCTCCTCCTCCTCCTCCTCCTCCTCCTCCTCCTCTTCCTCTAGTTCTCTCTGCCCGGACGAGGGGGGGGGACGACCAGGGGGGGGGGCGACCAGCCCGCGGAGTCCTTGGAGAAGGTTGCGCGCAGCCTGGCGAAGGTAGCAGCCTGGGTGACGCCGCTGAGCGGTCCCCCGGCTCGCATTGCAGACTGCAGGCCGAGGGAAGAGGGAGAGGGGGAGGGGAAGCAGGAGCAGGAGCAGGAGGAGGAGGAGGAGGAGGAGGAGGAGGAGGCAGGGGAGGAGGAGGAGGAGGAGGAGGAGGAGGAGGAGGAGGAGGAGGAGGAGAAGGAGGAGGAGGAGGAGGATGAGGAGCAGGAGGAGGAGAAGGAGGAGGAGGAGGAGGAGGACAAGGGCACTATGGGAGGCCCCAGGGGGAACGACTCGAACGGAACAAGAACTGTCCGCGGGGAAGGGGTCGAGAGGTCCAGGGGGGTCTGTGGCACAAGAAGGAGCAAAGAAGCACAAAGGCGAGGCGACGGTCCCTGGGTGCAGAAGAAGGGTAGATGAGTAGGTGAGTGGGTGGGGGTGGAGGAGGGAGTGAGGGGGGAGGGAGGGGGTGGGGAGGGGGAGGGGAGGGGGAGGGGGAGGAAGGAAGGAGGAGGAGGATGAGGAGGAGGAGGAGGAGGAGGAGGAGGAGAGGAGGAAGGAGGAGGAGGAGGAGGAGGAGGAGGAGGAGGAGGGGAGGAGGAGGAGGAGAAGGAGGAGGAGGAGGAGGAGGAGGAGGAGGAGGAGAAGCGAGAGAGAAACATCCTTTGAAGAAGACAAGAAGAGGAGAGGAGGAAAAGGAGAGGGTGAAGCATATGGAAGAGGAGAGGAGAAACACACGGAGAAGGGGAGGAGGAGGAAGGAGGGATGAAGGGAGGCAGGGAGGGTGGCATGAGAAGGGAAGTGGAAGGAGGCCGCCAACGATGCGCAGGGAGAAGGGCGAGGAGGTATGATCAGACGGAGGAGGAGGTGGAGGTCCACTAGGAGGGGCGACACGAGGAGAAGGAGGCAGACGAAGAGGACGCTAAGTGGCAGGGCTTCATCGAAGACGTTATTTGGGCGGGTCGTGGGCAAGCTCGGGCGGGCCTCTTCCGCCGTCTTCGCGCGGGGTAGCAGGAGCACGCAGGGGGGGTGCTGACGACGGCGGAGGGAGACGACGAGGAAGAGGAAGAAGATGATGAGGGGGAAGAGGAGGAAGGAAGGAGGAGGAGCAGGAGCAGTGGAAAGACGATGAGTGGGGCAGGGGTCCGCCCCTTGTCATTCTCGATCTCATTCTGTCCCAACTCCCCCTCCTCATCCTCCTCCGCATGCTCTTCCTCATCATGCCCCTCCTGCTCCACGGGGTCCTCCTCCTGCTCTTTCTCCTCCTTCTCCTCTTTCTCCTCCTCCTCCTCATCCTCCTCCACCTCCCTCCTCCTCCTCCTCCTCCTCCTCCTCCTCCTCCTCCTCCTCCTCTTCCGTCTTTACCCCGCCTACTATCCTCCTCTCTCCCTCCTACCTCCGTCTCCTCGGTCATCCTGATAACATCATCATCCTCAGTCATTCACTTCTCCTCCCTCTACCCTACACCCTTCCTCCTCCCTCCTCCTCCCTCCTCTGACTCCTCCCTACCTACTCCTCCTCCTCCTCCGCCCCCTCCCTCTCCTCCCCGTACCCTGCTCCTCCTCTCCCTGGGCCCTTCGGTGGAGCTCCTCATACCCCCTCCTCTACTCCTATCTGCATGCCGTCCACCCGTTAATCCGTCCTCCCCTCCTCCCCTTCCTCCTCTCCTCTCCTCCTCCTCTCCTCCTACATCTTCCCTGTCCTCCTGAGCTGGGCCTCCTCATTCCCTCCTCCTCCTCCTCCTCCTCCTTCTCCCTCCTTCTCCTCGTCTTCCTCCTCCATCATCCTCCTCCTCCTCCTCCTCCTCCTCCTCCTCCTCCCTCCTCCTCCTCCTCCTCCTCCGCCTTTCCCTCCTCCTCCCCTCCTTCGCGCGCCCCTTGCCCCCCCCCCCGCTGCCCGCTGACTGGCCGAGGCGGGCGCCGCCGGCCCCGCGTCCTGCCGCCCCCTCCACGGGCAGCGCAGGCGGTGTGGGAGCCCTGCCGCTCAGAGCGGGCCGGGGGCCTGCTCCGGGCCCCCCCTGCGGGGAGCCCAGGGACGTCCTGGGCAGCTGGGACGTGCGGCGCTCGGCGCAAGCTGAGTCGCCGTGGGCAGGCACGCCAATGCCCTACCCCCCTACGCCCATCCGGAGGGCCGGGGCCGTGCGCTGCGCGGCGTCTACAGAGCCGTTCTGCGGCATCCGGAGACGGCCCTTGCCTCCACTGTGGGGCGGGGGCGTGCATGCACTGTGGCGCGTCACCGGCGGCCAGAGGAGGGCTAGCCGCAGAGACTTTGAGTTTGGGATCCCGGGCCTCTGGGGGAGGGGCCGCGCGACGCGCCGGGCTCCTTTGCGCACAGGGCTCCTTGACGCTTCGCGCCTCCCGCCTGCGCCCCTAATCGGCTCATGGCATGGTGCGCGTGTTCTGCCGCCTGGTTGCTGGCTCTCCTTTCGGGGGGGGGGAGCCTGGGCATAAGGCGGTATTGAACCCCACCGTTGCTGTCTGCCGAGGCGGCTCGCGCAGGGGTGCGGCTGTGAAGGGGGGGGTCCCGTGTTGCGGGGTGTCTGGGTCGTCGTCGTCCTCTTCTCTGGGGTGCTCGCCCGAATCCGGTTTGTATAGTTTTAATTCCAGCTGGTGCCGAAGCGCACCCCATACACGTCTTTTCACTTGTATTCACTTGTGATGGTGCTTTTGATCTGAGAGGGTTTTATACCCCCTGTTCCCTGACGTTGGGCAGGATATGTGCGGCGGCTGGCTGTCTCCTCCTCGATTGCCAGTTGCCCTGCCTGTCTCTGTAAAGAGGATTCCGCCCTGGGGTTGCCACGAGGCGGCTCTAGGGCGGTCTCTTCCACACCTTTTACGACTTTCTCGCGCTGCGCGCGAGGGCATCTAGGCATCGTGCAGCCTGTTGCCATCAACACCAATCAACTGCGGGGAGCCCAGAGAACCGACGCACTGAAAAAATCAAGACGGACATGTTTTTCGCAATGTTCGGCCTCTATGGGGCCCTCGCCGGGCCCCGGGAGCGTCAAGAAAAGGCTCAGGATGAGAAACCGGTCCTGGGGAATTGGTCGAGACTTCCGGAGACAGCGCATTGAAAAAATCACGACATCGGATCTCTGGGTACGGGGAGGGCATGTGGGTCAGGAGCCCGGGGGTCTGGGAGCTGAGGGAACACGAAATGGGGCTCGGCCACGGACATCACAACCGCCCTCATCGGACACGGTGAGGGCATGTGGGTCAGGAGTCCAAGGGGCCTGGAAGCTGGGAGAACACGAACTGGGGCTCGGCCACAGACAGGAGTACAGGGGTCTGGAAGCTTGGAGAACACGAACTGGGGCTCGGCCACGGACAGCGCAGCCGCCCTCCTCGGACACGGTAAGGGCATGTGGGTCAGGAGCCCACTGGGGGAACACGCACTGGGGCTCGGCCACGGATATCATAGCCGCCCTCCTCGGACACGGTGAGGGCATGTGGGTCAGGAGTCCAGGGCTCTGGAAGCTGGGGGAACACGAACTGGAGCTCGGCCACGGATATCGCAGCCGCCCTCCTCGGACACGGGTCAGGAGCCCAGGGCTCTGGAAGCTGGGGGAACACGAACTGGGGCTCGGCCACGGATATCACAGCCGCCCTCCTCGGACACGGTGGGGGCATGTGGGTCAGGAGCCCAGGGGCCTGGAAGCTGGGGGAACACGAACTGGAGCTCGACCACGGATATCACAGCCGCCCTCCTCGGACACGGTGGGGGCATGTGGGTCAGGAGCCCAGGGGCCTGGAAGCCGGAGGAACACCAAATGCGGCTCGACCACGGATATCGCAGCCGCCCTCCTCGGACACGGTGAGGGCATGTGGGTCAGGAGCCCAGGGGCCTGGAAGCTGGAGGAACATCAATTGGGGCTTGACCCACGGATATCACAGCCGCCCTCCTCATAGAAGGAGTGATCCAGGGTCCGAAGCCTCCTGGGCACGTTCCTTGAGGAGGAGGAGGAGGAGGAGGAGGAGGAGGAGGAGGAGGAGGAGGAGGAGGAGGAGGGTCCGAAGCCTCCTGGGCACATTCCTTGACGAGCGCCCCAACCGTCACGTCGTGCCCTCGCGAGGCCACCCTGGGGAAGGGCAGCCGTCTGGCCCGGGCCGCGAAGGCGCGGAGGACGATTCACTTCGCGCCCCTCGGGAGTGACGCCAGCCTGCCGGAGATCCCGCAGCCAGGCAAGCCGGCCGGGCAGCTCGTCCTCGTCCTCCTCCTCCTCCTCCTCCTCCTCCTCCTCCTCATCCTCATCCTCTTCCTTCTGCTTCTGAGCCAATGCATATATGTTTTCGTTGACATCTGGAATCCCAAGGGCTTTTGATTATCTTCTGTCAGGAGAACTTCCCGACCATTGCAGCCAGGCAAGCCGGCCGGGCAGCTCGTCCTCGTCCTCCTCCTCCTCCTCCTCCTCCTCCCTCCTCCTCCTCCTCCTCCTACTCCTCCTCCTCCCTCCTCCTCCTCCTCCTCCCTCCTCCTCCTTCCTCCTCCTCTCCTCCTCCTCCCTCCTCCTCCTCTCCTCCTCCTTCCTCCTCCTCTCCTCTCCTCCTCCTCCTCCTCCTCCTTCCTCCTCCTCCTCCCTCCCATCCTCCTCCTCCTCCCATCCTCCTCCCCCTCCTCCTCCCTCCTCGCCTCCTCCTCCTCCTCCTCCTCCTCCGCCCTCCTCCTCCTCCGCCTCCTCCTCCTCCTCCTCCTCCTCCTCCTCCTCCTCCTCCTCCTCCTCATCATCATCATCATCATCATCATCATCATCATCATCGTCCTCCTCCTCCCCTGCAGCCAGGGATGCCAGGCAGTCGCATGTGCTGCCTCAACTAGATCGAGTGCACGGGGCCGCCCTCGGCGGAGAGACCAGGGGGGCCAGCTCGGGGCAAGAGCGGCCCGAGAGCGGGCCAAGGGCAGGGCTCAACGGCGAGCGCCCGGCGGAGGCTCGAAGGCGCGCGACTCTGGGTCTAGGGGGATATGTGCCCCACAGGTCGCCATGGGGACTCCTCCTCTTCCTCCTCCTCCTCCTCCTCCTCATCCTCCTCCTCCTCCTCCTCCTCCTCCTCCTCATCCCCCTTCCTCCTCCCCCTCTTCCTCCCACTCCTCCTCCCCCTCCTCCTGCTCCTCCTCCTGCTCCTCCTCCTCCGGGCCCTGAAGGAAAAGAGCCCTGAAGCTTTGCGCCGCGTTCGGGCCCTCGGGGCCCGAGTGCGGGCCCGTGGCCGTCAGAACGGCGGCTCGGGAGGAAGAGGCCGTCGCAGAGGAAGGCCCCCGGGTCCAGGCCCCGTTTCCGTTAGGACCCGCTGCTCCCATGCGAAAGATTGGGCCTCGGTGGGGCGTCCCACAGGCTGGAGCAAACAGGCGTGATCCGTCGGACCGCATGCTTGGAACGGCGGGGGGGGGGCGAGGGGGAGCAGGAGAAGAGGAGGGGGAAGTGGTGGAAGAGGACCAAAGTAAAGAGCAGGAAGAGTGAGGACGAGGATGAGGATGAGGATTTTCCATCCGCTCGTATCGTGTTCGCTTCGACCAGTGCGGGGCCCAGGGCAGCCCCCCTACGCTCCGCGACATGGGAGAGCAGGAGGCCAACGTACAGCAAATTCATGCCCGCGCCGCGCGGGGGAAGACGATGACGGTCAGCGCACCCGCGGAGAGTAGGACCTCCCGGCAGGCCGCAAGCGGCACGGCGGCCTTGAGGACGAGGGCGCCCCGCAGGAACATGCTCAACAGCAAGCAGTCGAGGACGCGGTGCGCGCATGGACATGGCCACCAGAGCTCGTGGCATTAATATTGCTTGGGTGTTGTTGCTTCTTCTTCCGCTTCGTAGCCGTCGCACCAGCAGGCTCGACAGTATCGGGGGCGCCCCTCGTGCCAACGTCACTGCGATGGGCTTCGTGCGACACAAATGGCCTGCCAAATCCAGGAATCTGATTCGTGATGGAAGGCCCTCCAGCAGCAGGACGCACACACGCAGCAATAAGAGCACCAGCAGGAACATCGCCAAAAGATTCGCATCGCCAAGTAGCCCTGGAAAACCCCCTACACCTCCAAGCTCACCAGAGGGCTCGACGACATCAAGGGCACCTCCCTTACCCACGTCACTTTGATGAGCCCCACGCAACACAAGTGACGAATCCAGTCCAGGGATGTGCTTCACGGTGGTAGGCCCCCCAGAAGATGAATGCCCAGGATCTTCGCCATGAAGGTCGGCACCGCCAGGTAGCGCGAAGTAAACCTCCACGCGTCCAGGAAGTACTTCACCAGGAAGATACGCACCACCAAGCAACCCTCCAGGAAGCACGTCTCCAGGGAGATCCGCTTACCCAGCAACCGCACGACCAGCATTCACTCCTTCAGGAAACCATTCGCCAAGGAAATCTGCACCACCAAGTCTCTCTTCAGGGAGCGCTGCATCACGAAGGCCGCTGCCAGGAGGGTCCGCACCTCCAGGTCGCACCTCACAATTACCCATTCCGCCGAGAGACTCTGCACCAAGACCACCCGCACCTCCAAACAACTCTCCATGGAGCACGTCGCCATGAAGAACTGCTACCGTTCCCCCAGGTCGCAGACCACATACGTCCACTCCTCCAGGAACCGCGACACCCAGAAGATCCGCAGCACCGGGTGGCCCTCCAGGGGAACACTTCACCAGGAAAACCTTCATGAGGAAGAACCTCACCTCCAGGTAGCACTCCACCACGATGCACTCTCCAGTAAGCACTTCATGGGGACGATCCGCACCACCAGGTGGTACTCCAAGGAGCTGAGGTACTCCAGCAGGAGGTCCACAGTGAGGTTCATGGCGGAGGATATCCACATTGCCACCAGCAGGAATGAAAATATGGGCCTCCTTGCTGAATTGGAACGGAACGCTACAGGAAGCCCCCGCGGTGGCCCCTCACCTGCAGGAAAACAGCCAGCAAAAAAATCACCGAGACCAGAAATATCCACATCAGTATGGCAACGAGTGTCGTCAGGAAAATGCTCACCACGCATCTCAAGCATGGGTGGACGGACTGGACGACCGTCCCCACGGTCATGTTGGCGACCAGCAAAAACCAACAGCGCATCATCTGCATGTCGATGATAGTCATCCCGTCCTTCATGAAAACCGCCTTCAGGACCATGAACACCGTGACGAATATGACCAGCAGCCAGTCGAAGACGAATACCGCCAGGAAAGTGCTCAAAACGCGAATCAGGTACTGGAGGAAAGACTCGACGACCGTCCCCACATTCATGTAGGCGGCCACCAGACCCCGACAGTGCATCATCAGCATGTCGATGGCTAACATGACGTCCTCCATGAAGACTGCCATCAGGACAATGAGCGCTGACGAGCTTGATCAGCGGTCAGAGGAACACGAGGTAGGCCCAGCTGCTGATGCCGAAGAGCTTTGTGAGGCGGACCATCAGGACACCACGGGTCACATGCTCCATCGTGCCACGGGTCCGAGCCACACTGTCGATGACGCCAATGCACCACCGGAGCAGAGGGAAGCCGTCGTCGCCGTCAGTGAGTCCCTGGGTCGCCACAGTGACCATCGTCATCGTCAGCGTCATGAGGAAGCCAGCCATCGTGAAGAACATCATGATCCGGCACAGCGGGGCCAGCACGCTGCGAGAAACAACTGTTGATCTCGCTCTGCTGGGCGCATCCACGCTGGTGGCCGCGATCGATGACCTCACATACTTGCGCCATCCTCTTCACACTCTCGATTTGGGCATCGAGCAGACCACGTGTCATCGCCGAGCGCGCTATGCTTCACAGCTTCGCCTTGCCCGTGAACGGATCAGCAGCAGAGGAAATGGTGACCAGCACATTCTCACATGCCGCGGTGCAGCGGCGGACCAGGAGAAGCCTGTCGGGCACCACCAGGACATCACGCGTGCGGTTAAGCAAGTGCAGAGGGAGCCAATTGGGGGCCGAACATGTGTTTGGGCCATAATGGCTACGGAATGCGGATGAGGATGAGGATGCTGCTGATGATGATGATGCTGATGATGGTGATGATGATGAGGAGGAGGAGGAAGAGTGAAGAGGGGGAAGAGAAGGAGTGAGGAGGAGGAGGAGGAGGAGGAGGAGGAGGCGGAGGAGGAGGAGGAAGAGGAGGAGGAGCAGCAGCAGCAGCAGCAGAAGCAGCAGGGGCAGGAGGGCCGGGAGGAGAAGCCATCGCCATCGCACCAGGCAGGAAGAGGAGGAAGGCAGTGAGGAGGCGCAGGCGCGGGGAGGCGCGAGGTGGTGGTGGGACGCAGGCATGGCGAAGAGTTCGCGAGCTCTCGTCGTAGTGCCGCGCTCCCCGCCTAGGCCTCCCGTTCTGTAAGAGGAAAGCCGAGAGAGGAGGCGCGAGGAGGGAGGAGCGAGGAGCGAGGAAGGACACAGCAAGAGCCGCCGCCGCCTGCAGGAGGGTCTCGGGGGCGGGGGCCATGGCGGCGGCGGCGGGCTGGGCGGGGCGGGGCAGGGGCGGCGCGCGGCGGGCAGCAGAAACGGCAGCTGCGGGCGCAACCTCCTCCTCCTCCTCCTCCTCTCCTCTCCTCCTCCTCCTCTCCTCCTCCCCCTCCTCCTCCTCCCCCTCTCCTCCTCCTCCTCCTCCTCCTCTTCCTCCTTCCTCCTCTCCTCCTCCCTCATCATCATCATCCATCCATCATCATCATGCATCATCATCATCAACCATCATCATCATCATCCATCATCCATCATCATCATCATCATCATCATCATCATCATCATCATCATCATCATCATCATCATCATCATCATCATCCGCATCATCATCATCATCATCATCATCATCATCATCATCATCAGCATACTCAGCATCAGCATCGTCATCGTCGTCATCGTCATCGCCATCATCCTCACCCATTTGGATCCTCATCATCCGTATTATCATCACCCTCATCATCATCAGCATCATCACCACCACCACCATCATCATCATCAGCAGCAGCATCATCACCACCACCACCATTACCATCATCATCGTCATCATCATCACCTGCATCATCATTGTCAGCAGCATCATCATCATCATCAGCATCATCACCATCAGCAGCAGCATCATCACCAGCATCATCATCAGCAGCAACAGCATAATCAGCATCAGTATCATCATCGTCGTCATCAGCATCGTCATCCTCATCATCATCATCACCCATCAGCATCATCATCATCAGCATCATCATCATCATCAGCATCATCATCACCACCACCATCATCATCAGCAGCAGCACCACCACCACCATCATCATCATCAGCATCATCATCATCGTCATCGTCATCATCATCATCGTCATCATCATCACCATTTGCATCATCGTCGTCAGCAGCATCATCATCACCATCATCAGCATCATCATCAGCAGCAACATCATCATGGTTCTCCTCCGTCTAGTTGTTCTCCTCCCCCCCTCATTCTCGTCCTCCCCCAAGTGTTCCTCCAGGGGGGTTCACAACGGCTGGGGGATCACACACAATCCAACAAAAACTCCTCGGCTGGAATTTGGCCCGGCGTCTGGCCACACGGGCGCTTCCAAAAGGGCAGGGGGCGGCGGTGGGTCGCCGCAGGCATCTTCGACACTCGATCACTGAGCACATGGTCGAGCGCATCCATCGGGCTGGAAGCCGCGAGGAGCTCCAAGTTGTCGTCGTACTCACATCCTCCTCCTCCTCCTACTCCTCCTCCTCCTCCACCACCACCTCCTCCTCCTCCTTTATCCCCCTCCTCCTCCTCCTGTTCGTCGTCCTGCTCATCATCCTGCTCGTCGTCCTTCTTCTCCTCCCCATCCTCGTCATTGTCGTCGTCCTCGTCCCCATCCTGCCTCCCTCCCTTCGTCCCACCTCCCCTCCTTCTCCTTCTCCTCCTCCTTCTCATCCTCCTCCTCTTCCTCCTCCTACTCCTCCTCCTCCTGCTCTTCCTCCTTGTCGCCCTTTCCTTTGGTCGTCCTGGACGTCCCGCTTGCTCCTTGCTTGTGGCCCTGCTCCTCGTCCTCTTCCTCCGTCTCCCCCTCATCTGGGTCTTCTTAGTTCCCAACCAGCCTTTGGTATTGGGTCCAGATTTTGAAGAGACAGCGCCCCGCGTTCATGCATTCCTTCCTCCTCCTCCTCCTAGCCTCCTCCCCCTCTTCCCTCTTCCCCTCCCTGCCTCTGCTCTCCGCATGCCCATCCCATTTCAGCACGCCCCTCACACGTTTCGTGAACACCAAAGGAGCTCAACCGAGGGTCCCCGTGGAGCAGCCCGCATGCGTCCCCCCCACCAACTTCGCTACACCCATCACACGCTTCGTTGCTCCATAAGGAGCTTCATAGAAGATCCCAGTGGCGCAGCCCGCATGCGACATCGCAACCAATTTCGGTACACCCATCACACGCTTCGTGGCCCCACAGGAGCTGCACCAAAGGTCCCCGTGGCGCAGCCCGCATGCGTCCCCGCCACCCCTGTCGCGACACCCCTCACACGTTTCGTGGTCCCACAGGGAGCCCTCACAGAAGGCCCCAGTGGCGCAGCCCACATGCGCCCGGCCCAAGTGGCGGTGCCCACATGCGTTCCCGCCACCCATGTCGGCACACCCCGCACACGATTCGTGGCCCCATAGGGAGCTCCACCGAAGGTCCCAATTGCGCAGCCCACATGTGTCCCCGCCACCAATTCAAGCACACCCCTCACACGCTTCGTGGCCCCATAGGGAGCTCCTCTGCTCTCCGCATGCCTCTGCCTCTGCTCTCCGCATGCCCATCTCATGTCAGCACACCCCTCACACGTTTCGTGAACACCAAGTGAGCTCAACCGAGGGTCCCAGTGGCGCAGCCCGCATGCGTCCCCGCCACCAATTTCGGCACACCCATTACACGTTTCGTGGCCCCATGGGGGGCTCCACCGATGGCCAAAGTGGCGGTGCCCATATGCGTTCCCGCCACCCATTTCGGCACACCCCGCACACGTTTCGTGGACCCTGAGGAGCTCAACCGAGGGTCCCAGTGGCGCAGCCCGCATGCGCCCCCGCCACCCGCCCTGAGACACCCCTCACATGCTTCGTGACCCCAGAGGAGCACCGCCGAAAGTCCCAATTGCGCAGCCCGCATTCATCCCCGCCACCCATTGAAGCACACCCCTCACACGTTTCGTGGCCCGGAGCTCCACCGAAGGTCCCAGTGGCGCAGCCCGCATGCGTCCCCGCCACCCATTTCGGCACACCCCGCACACGTCTCCTTGCCCCATAGGAGCGCCACCGAAGGTCCCAGTAGCGGTGCCCACATGCGTCCCAGCCATAAAATTCTGGCACGCCCCGCACACGCTTCGTGGCCCCATAGGGAGCCCCACAGAAGGCCCCAGTGGCGGTGCCCACATGCGTCCCCGCCACCTATTTCGGCACACCCCGCACACGATTCGTGGCCCCATAGGGAGCTCCACCGAAGGTCCGAGTTGCGCAGCCCACATGCGTCCCCGCCACCGATTTCAGCACACCCCTCACACCTGTCGTGGCCCCATAGGGAGCTCCACCGATTGCCCCAGTGGCGGTGCCCATATGCGTCCCTGCCACCCATGTCGGCACACCCCGCACACGTTTCGTGGCCCCACAGGGAGCTCCACCGAAGACGATACTCACGGCTGCTGCGTTCTTCATGGAATGAATATCACGAGTATCAATAAACTGATTCGTCTTATTTTCACACGAGTCTTAATATGATTTGTTTTATGATTGTGATATCATTATTCGTGTCATTCGTAGCATCATGAGCATTCGTATCGTAATTCGTATGACTCGTCTGCTTGTCCTTCTTACTACGTTTACTTTCTCTTTGGCATGCTTGCTCATATTAACATGATGATTCCTCTCCCCTTCGTCTGAAGTCGTTGCTCCCGCTTCTCCAGGCTTCCTCACCCACCCAGCCATTTCGATATCTTGCCCTGGGCCTTTTGCTGAACTCCACCTTACCGTGTCTTGTTTCCCCCCCCAGCCACTCCTCGTCCTCGACGTCCTCCTCATTTTCTCACTCCTGCCTCCTCCCCCTGAAACCCATTTTGCATGGCCCGTGCAACGTCATGATGCGGGCGAGCGGACTGTCCGCCAAAGCGTCAAAAAAACAGCGCACAAAACGAACGTATGCCAAACATGCAATACGTACGTATGCCACACGTATTCCGATGGAATTTGCGCACAGGACGAGCGAAACTGAGGCAACAGACGCACGCAATCCGTGCGCCATAGCCCAAGAAAGCCCGCATTCCGAGGCTCATCGGCAGGGGCAACGGCAAGGAGCTAAAAGACCCGCATTCCGGCTAGGCCCGCGATGCTCACTCCCGAACCCTCACTGTGTACTCTCGCTAGTACCACTCGGTGTCTACCGTCAGGTTGTCCGGGAAGGTCTGGAAGACCAGGAGCGACGTGCACGTCGACACGGCCATGATGCCCGTGGAGAAGGCCACGGCTTGGTCCTGGAAGGCCACTCCCGTGGTCAGCGTTGAGAGCAGCTTGACGCTCTTGGCTCCCTCGTTCGTCTCTGACCCCCACCTCGGCTACTCAACATTCGTTTCACGCGGCCTCGTCTCGATCAGGAGGAGGAGGATGAGGTGGAGGAGGCGGTGGAGGAGGAGGAGGACCTCCTCCCCCTCCTCCTCCTCCTCCTCCTTCTCCTCCTCGTCGTCCTCTTCCTCCTCGCGATCGGGGGTCGTCCTCCTCGTTCTCCTCCTCGTCCTCCTCCTCCTCCTCCTCCTCCTCCTGCCCCTCCTCCTCCTCCTCCTCCTCCTCCTCCTCCTCGCGATCGGGGGCCGACGCCATCCCACCCAGAGCCCCTCCCCCCGACGCAGCCACCTGCCCCTGCGAGTCGGAGCTCCGCTCCCGGGCGGCTGCTCGGGACGGCCGGGGCACCCCCGCGGCGCTCTCTCGGCCGGGCGCGGCCGCGGAAGGCGGCCCGAGGGTGGAAAACCGCCGAGAGCCTGCAGTGAAAACGTACACGGCAGGTTCGTGTCGTATCGACCCAGGCGTTGGTTCCTGACACCACGGGGATCGTTCAACCTTGAACGATCGGCCGTTTCCGAAACGTCCAAATCGTTCCACATCGAACGATTCTGGGTCGCCCGCGGTGTTCAACGTTGAACGCCGGCAGCGGGGTCGCCGCCGGTCGACACGACACAAACCTGCCGTAGTAAGGACGCGTGGTACAGTCGGGGCGTTGACCTAAGGAACCCTAAATAAGGAACGAGGCCCCTTCTCTCCACAAGTTGAACTTCGATGTCCGATCGAAGATCTAAGGAAAATCCAGGGCAAGCTGCGAAACACTTAAGGAACACGGAGCCCCTCCCCAACGAAAAGGGTTCCTTCTTCAGGGCCCCGACTGTAAGGACGCAAGACCCTTGGAGGCCGAAGTTGAAGTATTCTGGGCGGCAGGCGGCCAAACCCCCAGGGAACCTGAGAAACTGGCCTGCGAAAATTGCCAGGGACGGGCCGCAGAGGCTGAGGCAGGCAAGGACCCAAGGGTACCCTTGAAAAAGTCGTTTGTCCTTACTATGCGCGTTGACTGTACGACAACGCCCAAAAACCCTCACACAGCCTCGTCTCTATTCGGGCGCTGGCAGAACTGAGTTTAGTGGGACCTGGTTTCGTGATGTGTACTGGGGGACGCCCCCCCCGCCCCGTTCCACTGACCAGAACTGCCGACACCCCAGAACAAGCCAGCTACGGCAGACCTGGTTAAGTGATTCTGGCCAATTTAGAGGCTCTGAGGCCCTACCACTAATCGGATCCCCTCACCTGGGGTCCTGGCTATACCCGATCTATCAAGGGGGTATGGTGACCGAAACTGTGCCCGAAAATCTGTCCGAGTGTGACAGAAGGCGGCGCCCGACTTTTGCCGAACGCGCTGGCGGAGTGCCCGAGATGCTTGGTTCGAGACCAAAGGGATGCCGAATGAAGTTCGGTCACGCTGCGTTTTCGGTCACAGCTTCGACCACGTATTCGGTCACACATATGGGGCAACGATCGAAGACGGGCCTGGCGCGAGATGACGTGGCAACCTCACGCGGTGGCTTGCGCGGGCCGCCTGCGCGGCGTGCTGCATTGGAGACGAGGGCGCTTACGCGCGAGCTTACAGGGCAGTTTTTAATACATATGATGCTTGATCATAGAGATATTTGAATACATGATTGATTTGTGGATAAATTTATGCACGAACTCATCGCTGTTTTTACTACCGGATCCCTGCATCTGTAATACGTGATGCGCACGCGGGGCATGTATTAAAAACGGCACTGTATACTTCTACGCGGGCAGCTTGCGCGCCAATGCCGGCGCAGACGACCCCGTTCTGCTCTGCGCCGCTCGCGTGCTGCCCGCCACAGGACCTCTGCGGCCGACCGGGCTGGGCGAGCCCCGGCGCGCTCCACCCCTGCATGTGCCTCCTGGGGGGGGGGCATGCCGCGGCCACGGCTGAGCGCCACACCACGAGGAGGAGGAGGAGGAGGAGGAGGAGGAGGAGGAGGAGGAGGAGGAGGAGGAGGAGGAGCTGAGCGTGCTCTGCTCGGGGGAGGGGGCGAGGGACTCTGAGCTCCGACGGCGCGAAAACATCGAGGCGTCGTGGACAATCACGACTGGAGCCTCGGACCCCATCTTGCTGCGCCGTTGTGTTCGAGGCGGGTCGATCTGTCAGGGCCCGGGGGCCCGAAGCGGGGCGAACAGGCCCTGCCCGAAAAACTGGAAGTTCGTCAAGATCTCACGGGGAAGGGGGCGGGCGGCCCCCCTGCGGCTAAGACGGGCCGGAGGCTTCCCGAGAGGGCCGGATTCTTCCACACCTTTAACTACTTTCTCGGCCTCCGGCCGAGGGCGTCAAGGCATCATGAAGCCTGTCAGCCACATCATCCTCTTCTTCCGAGAGGGCTCCGGAGATGGCAGGAGGGCGCCCGAGCAGCACCCCGCCCTCGCAGAAGGCCGCCCCCGGTCGCCCCCGCCCTCCTCGGACGCCCGCCGGCAGGACTTGTGCAGAATCTGGGGCCCCGGAGGTCCTGACCCCTTCCCAAGAGGCACAGCCAGGCTGCTGCGAGCAGGACAACTACACAAGGAACGGAGGGCAGTTCCTGGCCACGGCGAGCCTCGGCCACGAGTAGGCCCGACGACCTGGATCGAAGGAGCGGCCAAAGACCAGAGCCCCTGAGTCCCAGGTGGTCCTTATTCCAGCGCCTTGACTGTAGCCCCGCGCCCCGGATCCATGTTTGACGGCCGCGGGGCCCACAAGCGGCCCACGAGGTCCGAAACCCGGCCGAACGGGCCGCACAGTCGGAGATCTCTGGGCTTGTGCGCATCGCCGACCACCTCTGGAGCTCGCCCACCTGGTTGCCGATGTAGACGTCGCCGCGCTGGTCGATCGCAGGGGTGGACCAGGCGCCCGGCACGCACGCCGCTCGCCCGCCCATGGCCCTGCGGATGTCGCCGCCCTCCTTGTCGCCCGCGCACATGCCCGCCCACAGCGTGGGGCCGTCCTTTCGTGGGACGTCAACTGTCCGCCTCACCGATCCTGGCTGGGCCCGAGATCGGTGTACCTGAATATATATATATATATATATATATATATATATATATATTATTTAAATATATACATACATACATACATACATACATCCATGCATATATACATACACACATACACACATGCATACATTACATTACATTACATTGTACTACATTACATTGCATTGCATTGCATTGCGTTGCATTACATCACATTACATTACATTACATTACATTACATTACATTACATTACATTACATTACCTTACCTTACCTTACATTACCTTACATTACGTTACATCACAACACAACACAACACATTACATCACATTACATTACATCACATTACATTACACTACATTACATTCCATTACATTGCATTACATTGCAAGACATTGCACTACATTACATTACATTACATTACATTACATTGCATTACATTCCATTACATGCTATTACATTACATTGCAATTCATTGCATTACATTGCATTGTATTGCATTACATTACATTACATTGCATTGCATTACCCTTACATACATACATACATACATATATACAGACATACACACCTACATACACACATACATACATACATGCAGGCATATGTGCATACATCCATGCATACATACATGCATACATGTAGGTACATAGACATACACACATGTACAACTCCACAAACATGAGCATACGCACGTGCACATGGTTATATTTACACACGCGTATGCACATACACATACATAAACATAATCATATCCATATGTCTATACATATACATGCATATATATATATATATATATACAAGACTGCATTGGCGCTGCGCGCCATGAACCTTGGTCCTTTGAATTCTGCACGCAAGCGGAATGCGTGCGTGCCTACATGCGCGCATGCATGCATACACGCGCACGCGCATGCACGTTCCGCAAAAATGTCTAGATGCATACACTATACTAACATTGTTGTATGTGTATACAGCGTACATATGTACATATAAAGTTGTGTGTAAGGGTATGAACATGCATATGCAATTCGTACGGGGCATCCTCGGGCATTTCCGCTGCATGCCACGAGACCCTCAACGACTGGGTCACAATGTGAAATGTCATGGGAGCAAAATCCATGAATGTTGGCATTCGGAAACATCGTTGGGGTGGTTTCGGGGCCGTCGTGGGCCGTTTTGGCGCCTTCATGGGCCGCTCTGGGGCCTTCTTGGGCCGTCTTGGAGAGCTTGGGCCCGCTGGAGCCCCCTTTGGACCCATCTTGGGCACTTCCGGGGACCTCCCATGGCCCTTTTGGGTCTGTGCTGGAAGCCCTTGGGGGGCCTCTTGGTTCCATTATGGGCTGTCTTGGGGCTCTCGTGGGCGATCGTGGGGCCCGGCTCGGCCGTCTTGAAGCTTTCTTGGGGGCCTTTTGGAGCGTCTTGAGGCGATCTCGGGGGCTTTGAAACCGTCTTGAAAACTGATGAAATCCGAAAAGCGGATATGCTAAAATTGTAAGATGTACAAAGGAATGGGACGATTTTTGTGGTTTGAAGGCCCCTTGGAAAGCTTTTTGGGGTGCCTTGGGAGTCTTTATGTTGGCATTCGGAAACATCGTGGGGGTGTTTCCGGGGCCCTCGTGGGCCGTTTTGGCGCCTTCATGGGCCGCTCTGGGGCCTTCTTGGGCCGTCTTTGGGAGCTTGGGCCCGCTGGAGCCCCCTTTGGACCCATCTTGGGCACTTCCGGGGACCTCCTATGGCCCTTTTGGGTCTGCGCTGGGAGCCCTTGGGGGGCCTCTTGGTTCCACTATGGGCTGTCTTGGGGCACTCGTGGGCGATCGTGGGGCCCGGCTCGGCCGTCTTGAAGCTTTCTTGAGGGCATTTTGGAGCGTTTTGAGGCGATCTCGGGGGCTTCGAAACCGTCTTGAAAACTGATGAAATCCGAAAAGCGGATATGCTAAAATTGTAAGTGTTTTCAAAGGAATGGGACGATTTTTGTGTCTTGAAGGCCCCTTGGAAAGCTTTTTGGGGTGCCTTGGGGGTCTTTATGGTGGCATTCGGGAACATCGTTGGGGTGTTTTCGGGGCCGTCGTGGGCCGTTTTGGCGCCTTCATGGGCCGCTCTGGGGCCTTCTTGGGCCGTCTTGGGGAGCTTCGGCCCGCTGGAGCCCCCTTCGGACCCATCTTGGGCACTTCCGGGGACCTCCCATGCTCGGAGCCCTTGGGGGGCCTCTTGGTTCCATTATGGGCTGTCTTGGGGCTCTCGTGGGCGAGCGTGGGGCCCGGCTCGGCCGTCTTGAAGCTTTCTTGGGGGCCTTTTGGGGCGTCTTGAGGCGATCTCGGGGGCTTTGAAGCCGTCTTGAAAGCTGATGAAATCCGAAAGCCGAATATGCTAAAATTGTAAGATGTACGAAAGGAATGGGAAGACTCTTGTGTTTTGAAGGCCCCTTGGAAAGCTTTTTGGGGTGCCTTGGAGGTCTTTCAGGTCGTCCTGACGCAATTGGAGTCCCTCTTGGAGCGCTCTTGTGCTGTCTGGGGCCTCCCATCGGCCTTTTCTGATGATTTCTCGGATCGCTTTGGGTCGGCTGACAAGGCGTTAGTGGAGACCCGGAAAGCCGGGTGACTTCTTTCCAAGGGCGTCCAAGGGAGCCCGAGAACCCCAAATCTGGGGGTCCAGTTTTTTGGGGGGGGATGGTTTCCCCCCCCCTGGGCTTCTATATATATATATATATATATATATATATATATAATATATATATATATATATATATATATATATATATATATATATATATATACATATATATAATATATACATATATATATATGAATATATGTATCAGCCGGCCCCCTTGCGGGGCCATCAGACTGCGAGGATGAAGGCGGCTGCTCCCTGCACCAGTTCCAGCTTCCAGTTTCAATTGTTACAGTACTGCTTCCTCCATCCTACTGTAAATTGTTACTGTCCGCGCGAGGGGGCGGAGCAGAAAAGCGCCCTGGTGAGCGTCCCCCGGGAGGGTTCTCAGAATTCCTGGGGGGCGTGGGACACGTAAAAATACTGGAAAATCGTGCCCGCGAAGCTATAATCCGTCGTGAAGTACGCCTAGCTCGCGCCCCCGAAGCCACGATCCCTCGTAAGTTACACTACGTTCGCGCCCCCGAAATTACGCCACATTCGCGCCCCCGACGCCAAAACCTTTTCGCAAAGTATGCAAAATTCGCGTTCCCGAAGCGACGAACCGTCATAAATTACGCAGCGGGCGCGCCCCCGAGGCCACGAATCCGCCCCGTGGAAGTTGAAAAGGCGCTCCCCTTTCCAGAGCAGAAAAACGACAATTTTCTGTATTGGGATATGTGTTCCGCTGGTATTGTTTTGCCCCCCCGCCGCCCCTTGAAAACTCAGCGGTGGGCTGCGCCCCCGCGCCCCCCCGGCCACGATCCCTCGTAAATTATACCACGCTCGCACCCCCGAGGTCACGATCCCTCGCACATTACGCCAAATTCGCGCCCCCGAGGCCCCGACCCCTTTTCGTAAATTACGCCACATGAGCGCCCCCGAGGCCACGACCCCTTGAAAAGTACGCCGCAGTCGCGCCCCCGAGGCCACGCGATCTCGAGTGAATTACGCAAAATCCGCGCCCCCCAGGCCACGATCCCATGGAAATTACGCCGCATGCGCGCCCTCGATGCCACGATCCCTCGTATATTACGCTGGATGCGCACCCCCAGGCTACGAGTCCACCTCGCGGCGGCTGCCCAAAGGCGACACTCCTTCTCCTGAGCAGGACAACTGCAATGTCCTCAAATACTGCCTGAAACAATCAATCCCCAGCCGTTCCCAGAGCGCTTCCAATGAACAGCTGGGGGGGAAATGCTCTAAGGAGGAAAAAAAGCGTTCAACAATTAGTTCAGAATCTCGATATGTTTGCTCATCGCCAGCCGCCCTAGCATGACGTTCCCGAATGTCATCGAGACGGTGCCCGGACATCCCAATCTAGCTCTGATGTATCCCATTCTGATAGAGAGGGTGTAGACCCAATTATGCAAAGCGGGGTCGTAGTGCAATACTAACCGCGAGGTTGTACGTCAGCGAAGATACAGCAACGATACCAATAATATCCGCAATGGATGGCGACAGATGGTTGCTTAGCGGAACCCGCGATGGCCCCTACCGATACGCCCAAGCTCAAGGGCCCTGAAAAAAAAGATTGAACCCAAATAGGCACGGCAAAGGTCAATACACTCTGCATGCTTGCTTGCCTCATATGCCACACTGCATACCGATCAGCACGGACACTATCGATTTCACACTCGTGCAAAATGATTATGATCAGTGCGTCTCTGGTCTTAGATCGTTTAGACGTGTCAAATCTCACGTCGACCAACTAAGCTGAAAACCGAGCGCCTGCTGCGCTCTATCCTGAAACCAGGCGGATGGCGCGCTTGAAATGCGAGTCAGCACTGTTCATATGTGCCTCGTGCTCTCGGGCCTGGTCGGTTGGCTCTTGATACTGCAATGCGAGGCGTGTAGCTCGCAACACTGCCCTGATGGCACTGCCGTCAGATCGCTTGGTGAACTGATCTCCGAGCTGCTGGTCGGTCGGAACCCAAAAGAGGCAGCTGGCTACGCTGATCGTCGGCAACGAATTCGTTACTTATTTCCACATCCAGTAACTCAATGAGGCCTACTAGGTCTAGCAAAAGGCACCGCTCTGACGGGAGCTTGGAGTATCCGTCTTTGTGCATCGCATCGCACAGGTTAGCGCAATCTGTGACCTGAGCAAGCGGCAGCAAACTCGGGGAAATATCTTCCAGATGAGCATCCGGTATCACAAGCGAAGCGAAAACGCAGCGTGTGATCTGAGCACAGCCTACTGCGTCTACCGCTGACATCGTCTCAGCTGCCACAGTAGATCTGCAAACTCTCTTGATGGTGCCTGATCGCCAATCAACGATTCCCGCTCGCGCCTTGTCGCCGCACAACAGCTTGGCCTCGG